TTCAATGGTTTCAACTCGTGTTGCAGATAAAAAATTTTCGGATGAGATGAATAAATCGAAATACAAATTTCCTTCAAATTAAAGATATCCCACGATTAAAATTTATAGATTTAACAAATACCACCATGCTATAGAATGCACAATAGTGTTCGACGAAATGTACATTAATGTATGTGAAAACGTATGGCTTCCCAACGTCCCCTGTGCAATGACTAAAATGCTCCCCACGTGTAAAACTAAAAGTACTCAATATTACAAGAATTTCACCGCCTCTTTGATCAGTGCTGGAGCGTTTGACTTGACTTGATATATCATATCTAACGGCTATGATTTATTCTTATTTCTTTCACTATTACTCATTTTTATTTGATCTTAGCTAATAATAATAATAATAATAATAATTTTTTAAAATTAAATCTCCTGGCCACCTGACACTTAGAGCTCAAAATCAGTTTTATATAGCTTTCCGAAATCCACTAATACAATCCTGTGTTAGCAACATATTTTTCAAAATATAAAAATATAAAATAATAAAATCCTTACATAATTTTTCTCGTGCCTCTCCTCCGGCGGGACCCCATAGTCGTGCGACTTTGTCCCTCACCTCAGATGGCCATGTATCGACGGGCGCTTGCTGGATTCTAGGTCCGAGTGGTCTCCTCCTCCGTTAGGCGGCCGATCGGACAGCGGGTCTCTCTGGCTCCTTTCGACGGAGGTGCGGTTGCCGGCGGTGAAGGGCCCCCGTGTGGCGGTTGGGACAGAGCGGCGGCTCTCCTCCGCTAGGTGGGTCCGGTGCCTGGGGCCGGTTTCAGCGTCGCTTGTAAGCTCTTCAGTGAGTTGCTGGTTTCCACCGCCTGGATTTCCTTTGCTTCTGATGGTCATGGCGGCAAGGCCCAAGCCGGTTGCCGAGTTGTTTATCTGTGGCGGATCTTGACGGCTGGCTGAGGCAGGTGGTTGGGGTTTGAGCGAGTTCCTTGGTTGTCCCCGGCCCCTGTTTTGCCCTGGTGTTGGGTGTGCAGGGGCCCCGACAGGGGTGGCTCTGACTTTGGTTGGCGGTTGCCGACGGTTAGGTTTGGGGGAAGCTGGGATGAGGGTCCGTTGGGGCTGGTCTTGGGGCTGCCTTTTGGGTGGGTTTTAGGCCTCTTTGGTCTGGTTCTAGTTAGCCGCGTAGGGAGTTTCTAGTTTCGTGTTTTTGCCGGGGGTTTGGTCCACCCGTCTGGGTGCCTTAGGCTTTGGTTCCCGTGGAAGATCTTGAGATGGCTCCTTGGCCGGTCGGGAGGGCATTAGTTTTATAGTCGTTTTGGTGTGTGCGTTGTTGTCTCTTTGTTTAGATGTGTTTGTCTGGATCTGTGTTTTTATCCCGTTTGGGAGTTGTTTGCATTCTCCCGTTGAGAGCTGTATTATTCTCCTGTTGTGAGCCTTTGTTGTGGTTTTTGTTGTTATTAGCATTAGTGTGTTGTGTTTAGATTGGTTCTAAACTGTCTCGGGATATCTGCCTATAAGTTAGTCCTTCCAACTAAATTCAACTGAGTAGTTGTCCTTTTCGATTGTTTAATTGTTCTCTAGTTTGTAATTATGTACTTTTCTTCTATTGAAAGACTATCGTTTCGAAAAAATGAAAAAAATAAAAATTTGTAATAATTGAAAGACTATCGTTTCGAAAAAATGAAAAAATAAAAATTTGTAATAATTGAAATAACACCGAGCTTATTATGAGAAGACATAGACATAAAATGGAAGTGTTTATAATAAGAGTCCTCGTGTGGTCCGTCCCTCAGAGTAGCAATTGAACTTGCACAAAGTGATGCTAGCTAGCTGGACGCTGGACCACATCAAGTAACTATGCACACGATTCAGAACAATCTCTATAGTGTGAAACTAAACAAAGGGGTTTGGCCTTTATTAACAATGTCGTGGGCAATAAAGAAAAAAAAAAACACAAACTTAGAGTCCAAGTGTAAATAAAATGTGACTGTTTAACATCAAATTTATGTAGTAATGCAATGAATAATATTATGAATGCTCATGAACTTGTGATGAGATGAATAATGTGNATAGCAAAGATAGTGCTAAAAGCCTTAAACTCATTATCTTCGTTTTCCACCAACCAAGCCACTTCATTTTTTTAAGCTGCATGATTGCGCGGTTTGACACTACGAAGAAAAGTAATGAGTGCTCTTTACTTTTGATTACTTACCATGTTAGCCATGTGTTTCGGTTTAGAATAAATAGCGCCAAAATGCAGAGCAAAATGAACCTTATTGATGCCCAATTTTGTTGTCATAAACCACAAGCATCATAGCTCAAGTCCTATCATTCAATTTCTATAGGTTGCTTGACCATAATTTTCCAAATTGAGCTATTACTAATTTTTTTTTTCTACTTCTTTTTATTGAATTACCAATTCCCTCACCCTCCTCTCCATCCAACAATGAAGGCCTTGTTCCTCTTCACCACAATCCTTCTAATTTCTCTACATCCTATATCTCAAGCACAAACCCTAGACGTACCAATTCCGAAGCTACCGGTACCCCTACCGCCAATTCCAAACATCCCTTTGATCTTCTCGGACACACGACTCGAAATCGTTTATCCAGTCATTCAAGCCTTTAAGCGACTCATCACGTCCGACCCGCTCAACGTGACCGCCACCTGGATCGGGCCAGACGTCTGCAGATACAGGGGCTTCTTCTGCGGGCCCCCTCCCGACAACTTGTCCGCCACCGCGGTCGCCTCAGTCGACTTCAACGGTTTCGGGCTTTCCTCGCCCTCGATCGCCGGTTTTCTCGACCGCCTGCCAGACATCGCCGTTTTCCACGCGAACTCGAACAATTTCTCGGGCAATTTCCCTGCGAACATAGCTCGACTCCGCTACCTATACGAGCTCGACATCAGCAACAACAAGTTTTCGGGCCCATTCCCATTCTCCATCCTCGGAATGGGCCTTTCATATCTCGACATACGGTTCAACTCGTTCACTGGCTCGGTTCCCCCAGAGGTCTTTGCGCGGGGGATCGACTTCCTCTTCCTCAACAACAACGACTTCGTGACCCGACTGCCCGAGAGCTTCGGGCCAGACGCGGGCCTCGCTTACCTAACCCTAGCTAACAACAAGTTCTACGGGCCCATCCCGCGTGGCATTTCCCGGGCTTTATCGGGCCTTTCCGAAGTTCTCCTTCTCAACAACTCACTAAGCGGATGCCTACCATACGAGTTGGGCCTATTAAAAGATGCGATTGTTTTCGACGCGAGCAATAATGATCTAACGGGCCCGCTTCCTTTTTCCTTAGGGTGTTTGCAAAACTTGGAGGTTTTGAATTTTGCCGGGAACATGTTGTATGGGAACATTCCGGAAGCGATATGTCGGCTTGGGAAGCTGGCGAATTTGTCGCTTTCGGGTAATTATTTTATGCAGGCGGGGCCCGTTTGCGCGTCGTTGATCGAGAAGGGCGTGCTTGATGTGAGGGGGAATTGTATTCCGGGGCAGGGGATGCAGAGGAGTATGGCAGAGTGTGCGGGGTTTTTCGCGCGTCCACATTACTGTCCGTACACGGACACGTATACTAAATTTCCCTGTTGGCTTCCCAATTTTGGTTCTCCGGATTATCCACCTGGACTGGCGCCTGAGTCTTCTTGATTCATCACGGTTTTTTGGTTTAATTAATTACTTGAGTCCGATTTAGTGTGTTGCATTTTATGATTGTATGTTTTGATTCACAATGTTGTATGTTATAGGTAAGTTGACATTATTTAAAAAGAAAATGAGAATAATGTCATGCATATGAATATGTAATGCGATGGTTATTCTGTTGTAACATCAGTAAGAGCTTTTGGTTCTTCTATTTTTCCTTTTCTTGCAGCATATGTAGACATTAGTCATTTTATGCACATTATGTTGGTTGCAACGAAAATGAAGAATAAATATATTATATTGGTTGCAAGAAAAATAAAAAGAATATAATTAAAGAAACGTATGGAGGTTTTTTCTTAAAAACTTCTAATATGAGTCTGTCCTAATAATTAGGTGGATCAAATACTCAAATACTTGTTCATAATATGTAATATTAACTTTTTAGAGTACGATAGTTTTATATAAAAGTATGTATATTTGTTTAAAAAATATGACTACTATTAGAACAACAACCTTAATTGTTTTATAAATTGTTTCTTATACTATAAGGTGAAATCACCAAAATAGTGATGATACTTTGTTCAAAAGTACAAAAAATGTCTGTGATAATGCTTCTCCAAAATATATTCGAGATAAAATTATATTTACTAAATTTTGGCATCGAGAAAGCATCTCCAGTGGGAATAAAAATTAGATGTCATAAATACTGTCTCTATTTTATTTTCTCTAATGCGCTATTTTGTAGGTCATGTTATGATGACATGACGAAAACATCGTTAACTCCAGTGTTTGCATGTTGTTCGACATGCACATCATGATATATTAGGGAAAACGACTAAAAAATAGGAAAAAGTTGCTGCCATTATTATTTATTTTGTTTTTTGTAGATGAAAACTATTTTTTTTAATTCGAAATAATTAATCTATATGTTGCGACTAAAATTTTAATATTTATTTGAATGATTGCAATTTCAACATTTCAAGAAACTAAACATACTTTATTATTTATTTTATTTTGTGGAGATAAAAACTATTTTTTTAATGTGAAATAATTAATCGTATGTTGTATCTCGTAATTAAAATTTTAATATTTTTTTTCCAGACGATCTTTTGTTGATGTATTGATATATTTATCCTTGAAATATTTTATAATTTTATTTTTTTTTATTTTAAAAATAAATATATTCATGAATAAAAGTATGCATTAGAGACGTTAATCAGTAATTGTTTTTTAGTCTGTGACAGTGCTTTCATATGAAATCATAGTCTAATTGTTTATCACCATGTTGTAGAAAATTTTAATTTTAACGTTGAAACATTGGAGATGCTCGTGTGTCAACCCCACCTACACATTGACGCGTAAAAGGCGCGAAAGTTGCATTATTTGTCTTTCACATAAATCATAAGTCCACCACTAGTTGTAGATCACCATTGAAAATGTGGAAATAGTAAAAATCAACTATTATTAATTTCTGTGGGTAAAACAAAAATCAACTATCATTATTGTTAAGACCTAAGAACACCGATAATTCGGAAAGGGTGCGACCAATGAAAAGCATTACAATTTCTGGTCCTTATAAATTTGCTAGTGCTCGACTCTTAAACCCCATTAAATCTAATGGATAGCAATTCATGAAGAAACTATAGTCAAAATCAATCACTTAAACCACCTTTACAAAGGGACGAGTTTATTACACAACGGTAATTGAGTTTCAACGCATTGTCAGCAGCCACTGAGCTCAATTTTAGCAAGATTTAATGATTTTATCATGTCGGTGTATATGTATTTTTTATAAAATGGAGAGAAGAAGGAAATTTCTCCATCCATGGATTGATTGCGGGCATGAACGGAATCTTACTCACGAGAATAAGATTTACCTCATAGATAGAGATGAAAATTCTCGTCAAAATATTCAATGCATACTATTTTTGGTAATGAACTAAAATAAGGTTGAAAAAAACGTTGTCCAAGGCGTGGCGAAATATTAATAATTGGATTGTACTTGGATCAAATTTTTTTTATATATATATATATATANCCAGACTTGCACCTGACTAGTCCTCATTAAAAACCTTTCCAATAAAATCCCGACAGAGGAAAAAAAATTAGTCAAGGGAAAAAAAGTGCATGATTATAAAAATTCATTCATGTGTTTTACTAGATGCCTCATTAAAAACTTTTAACTAATAACCTCAATGGAAAAAATTTAGTTCAGGAAAAAAAGATTACAGATCTTGGTCTTCAGGACCTAATCTTCAAGATTATTTTGAGTTTGTCTCTCCCTCTGGAGACAATAGTCTACCCAGTTTACGTATACCAATATCATAAATGTATTTTTCAAAAGTAGATGTAGGAAGGGATTTGGTGAACATGTCTGTCAAATTCTCGCTAGACCGTACTTTTTGTACAGTAATCTCACCACTTTTCTAGAGCTCATGTGGGTAAAAGAATTTTGAAGCGATGTGTTTTGTCATGCTTCCTTTAACATACCCACTACTCATTTGTAAAAACACAAGTTGCATTATCCTCGTTAAGGATAGTGGGGATCATATTATTTGTAATTCCACATGACCCACGAATATGTTAGATTAAAGATCTTAACCATACACATTCTCGTGAATATGAAGCAATTATCTCTGAGTGGTTTGAAGAGATTTATTTATTTAAACAAAAATAAAAAAAATTAAGTGGACAAAAAAAATGTTGACAAAATAAAAAAGGCGTATTCTGAGAATACGTTTTAAGGTGTAAAACGTATTCTCGGAATATGTGTTACTGTTAAATTAGAATAAAACCTATTCACATAATACATTTTGAAAAAAATTAATAAATAAAACGTATTTTGGTTATACGTTTTAGAAATAATTAAGCACTAAACAAATAATTAAAAACTAAAACGTATTTTCAAAATACGGTTACAAACAATAAAAAACTAAAACGTATTTTGATAATACGTTTAAAATTTTAAAATTACTGAATAAAAAAATTAATATATAGTATGTGTTCTGTATTTTGGGCTCGTTTGGCCTCGTCTGAACTCGGAATTAAGTTTCATTTTTTTCTATACGTAGCTAATGAACTCCTCTATTTAATGATGCATGCATGACCAAATTATTCTTGAAATCATATTTTCCCAAAGCTCTTGACCTACACAATAAACGTGTTTCGTGCGACTTTCCCTTTTGGGCCCGTTCGGACTCGTCCAAGCTTGAAATTAATTTTCGCTTCTTCCTATATGTTGCCAACGAACCCATCTACACAACCATGATAGCCCAGTCAATGTTCGGGCTACATATCTTCCTCACTGGCAAAATAATTAACAAATCACCCATTATATAAATAGATGGTCCACGAAAGATTTGTTAATAGGTGATTTGTTAATTATTTACCCCCGTGAGGAATAGATTTAACCCAAAAATTGGCCGAGAAATCATGGTTGTGTAGATGGGTTCGTTGACAACATGTAGGAAGAAGCGAAAATCAATTTCGAGCTTGGACGAGTCCGAACGGGTCCAAAAGGAAAAGTCACGCAAAACACAGTTAATGTGTAGGTCAAGAGCTTTGGGAGAATATTATTTCAAGAATAATTTGGTCATGCATGAATCATTTAGTAGAGGGGTTCGTTAGCTACGTATAGGAAAAAACGAAACTCAATTCCGAGCTTTGACGAGTCCGAACGGGCGTTGTTGTCATTCGCAGTCACGGCGTCCTCGCCCCCTGTGACTGTGTACTCTGGGATGGGATGTAGTCCTCCTCGGATAGAACTTGACTGAGCGACGCCCCTAGTGTGACCTCTTGGTTCAACAGTCAGAGAACTATAGGCAATGTTGTAGGATTGTTGGCCAGATAACTATAGGCAATGTTTTATGACTGTTGGAATGCGGTCTGCGCCCGTGGAGGGAGTGTAGAAAATATGTCTTGAATATTCGCTAATGAGTTATAAACACCCTCCATGGCTTGAGTCTGAAAATAAAATTCAAAGTAATTAGTATGAAACACAAAAAAAAAAAAAAAAGAAATAATAAAAAAACCACAAATTATGAACATTTATATCGCACTTCTCCCGCTCGGCAACTGTCTGATAGCCGACGTCCTGTTTGACCACCATGTACTTGGTAGGGTCACTGATGAGTCTCACATTCCTAGTGTAAAACCAATCAATGTAATCCTACTCAGCCTGTAGGATACTCAGCCTGTAGGAAGTGATCCACAGGGGCATCTTGGAGGACATTTTGTTCTCTTTCATCGACTCATCCTTTGGTAAGCTGTGAATGAAAGGCGGTCCGATCACCAAATGCCTCCCAGTCATTCCACGGCCTCTGTGGTGTGTCTACCATTCTTGCTCACCACTAATCATCGGATTTTGGGGGATGGACTGCTGACACCCAAACTGACGGAGAACCTTATCAGACAAGTGGACTTCACGTATGTTCCAACATAATATCCACCCCTTATACATCCAAATATGTTGATCTTCTGTGCACTCATCCGGGAGAGTAACTATAGTTTTCTGACTTTTGGAGGCCAAGAAGTCACACAAGGGGCGTCGTTCAGTCAAGTTATATCCGAGGAGGACTACGTCCCATCCTAGAGTACACAGTCACAGAGAGCGAGGCATCAACCCGCTGCTAACATTGGTGGAGGTAGAAGACGCCGTGACTGCGAACGACAACAACGCCCGTTCGGACTCGTCTAAGCTTGGAATTGAGTTACATTTTTCCTATACGTAGCTAACGAAACCCTCTATTCAATGATGCATCAATGACCAAATTATTCTTTAAATCATATTTTCCTAAAGCTCTTGACCTACAAATTAAACGTGTTTTGCGCGACTTTATTTTTTGGGTCCGTTCGGACTCGTCCAAGCTCGTAGTTAAGTTTCGTTACCAAAATATGTTTTTTTAAAAAATTAATTAAAAAAAAGGTATTATGAGAATACGTGTTTTTTATTTTTGTCCACAATTTTTTTTTTCTTTTTAATTTTGTCCAGTTAATTTTTTTTTTTTTTATATATATATATATAAACTACTCGGTTTGAAGATGTAGTAACCATCACTACAACATAACTGATATTTTGTAACAATGAAAAAGTATTGCTTAATACCCAGAAAATGTTACCGTACATAATAGGTAACATTTCCACTGGTGTCGTATCTGATTTCGTTACCTATAGTCACAGGTATCGCTTTTGAAAGCTTTTAGAAATATTTTTTTCAAGATTATTGTTTATTGCTTGCAGGAACTGATCAGTAGAATTGTGCGTGTACACAGTAATACTTTTTGTTTTGTTGTGCTTGTTGCCTTCCCTTGCAGGTAATTTTCGAACTAGATGCCAAAGGGGGAGATTGAAAGATATAATATTTTGGCATGAGTTCGAAAGGAAGTTCCTGCATGCATTAAATTCGTAAATAAGGGAAGTTCTATGTAATTCATGTTTCCTAAATTAACTTATATTATGTACAAGGAATATTTGATCTTATTATGTGTTTATATTATGTAGGAAATCGGTTCATGAGAAGATAAGGAAAAAGAGGCATGCTCATGAAAGAGATCTTGGAGAGAGAAAATCAAGGATATCACTTCCATAAAGGGATGCTACATTTTAGGAAGGAAATCATGATTGGAGTCCTACACTTGGAAAAGACTCCAATTCTAAGGAATGGATATATATTTCGGACTTGAAGAACAAAAGATGCTGCTGATTATCTTTTTCATTTTGGAGTTGTCTTCAAGCCTCAAGTCTAAGTGCTTACAGAGTTTGTTCATGAATTTCAGTTCTTTATACACTCGGCGATAAAAGAACTGAAATCATTTTGGTTGTATTCTTTACTTTATTTTGATTCAAATATTTTGGGAATTACACTTACGGAGTAAGTGTGAGATTATAAGTCCACGGGACGTGGCCGGAAAATTAGTTGATAGGCTAGTTCATAGTTGTGGCTAAAATAGAAGGGAGTTCTATTGTGTAAGTCCAAACTATGTTTTTGATAGCTATCAATGAAAGAGAACTGGGTGGAAGTGGGATGCTTCCCTGAAAAGTTTTTAAATCTTTGGTTATTGCTTCCGCAAATTTTAGTTTTTATACTTGTTCGTACAACGTAGAGCGCACTCGCGATAAATTTATACGTTTCAGTGCAAAAATAAAAAATAACAAAGTTGATATTATTTCAAATTATAAAAATGTCTTTGTACACAACATTAATAGTTTTATTTATAATTTTTTCATCCTTATATATCGTAACATTCATGTTTTGCAGCAGCGTACTTCCAAATGCTCAATGCACAGGGTCAAATGAGAACAAGCATGCAGGGGCGGAGCCTTCAAGAGACGAGTGTGGGCCTAGGCCCACACTGAATTTTCATGTATTACTTAGCATTATATATAAATCAATTAATGAATAATTTAATTTGCATTATGTAGGTAAGATATAATTGTACCTCTCTCTTCAAATTATAAAATGACTTATAGCATTTTGTTTATCCATCATTAATTACTTTTTATTTATTTTTTATTTTTACACATCAACACTATTTGTCCTTTTTTGATAAAATTTGAACTTAATGTATAATTATTAATTACTTAATATGACTTAAGTAAGAAGACTAAAAAAATTTAGTTAACTAATATTATACGTAAATATACAAGTTTCCATGAAAATAACTTTAAATTATATTTATGATTAATAGTTACTATACTTTTTAAAAAACTTAAAACAAAATAAAAGGAGAAACATCGGTTGGATATATGACTTTTTTCTTTTCTTTCATTCTCAAGATTAATCGTGTTGGAACAAATAAAATAATAAAAATAAAATTATAAAATAATATTTATTTCATTCCACCTTTTTATCTACAAGTAATACAATTAAAACATAATAAATTCATGTTATTTTATACTTTCTAATAATAATGTTATTAATCACTAACATGTTTTCATTTGTTGATCATTATATTTTTATCTTGTGTTCATTCACAATTTCAAATATATCTCACTTTTCTTATTCTATTTACATATGAGATAAGATTTTGAAAAAAAAAAAAAATTATATTAAATCGCAACCTATAATTTCTTTTTATGATATTGCAAGAGATAAAAATTTGACTAAAAACAAGGTATATATAAATAATAATACTAACCTCAAGTTACGCAGATATGTCTTAAGCCTCTTCGTTTCATGACCATCGCGTTCATACTTAGCAACTTCATCAATTTTGATGACCTCGGCAACGATATCTATGTTCAAATCAAATAACAAAGTAAATATATCATAATTATATTAGGATGTAAAAAAATTAATAGATGTTAAAATAAAGTTGCATACCACATAAGAGCCTTGTGGAGTCAGAGTTGCTCTTCAGTTCGCTAAATTATCTGAAATTTTTTAAGACTTGATGATATTTTTAACACAAAATATAAATATCATATCACACTTCATAATTCCTACCGGAGTATGATTCTGGGAGCTGAAACTCATGATAGAAGCCCACTTTCGTTAAATCTCACCTCCAAACATAACATTCCTAAAGATTTTTTAAGGTTTCCTTCTTAGTTTTAATATGGTTACATTCTTACTAGATTTTCAATCAACTTTAGTATGATTTAAGTTTACACTATATATTATTTATATATTTAATAAATTTAGTTAATACATAAAAATAGACCATAAAATTAGTTGAACCTTATACGATAGTCTGTCTTATATGATTACGTAAATTTAAATTATAAAGGTGAATATTAAGTTTTTTGAAATAGAGAAACGGACCTTCGATGGAAAGTGGCCTAACCACAATAAAGAACGAAAATTAAGGACGATTATTTATGATTTCAACTAAAAAAAAATTAATCAAAACTTAAATTTAACTCAAACTCCAACATCATCAATATTATCAATATAATTAAATAATATCGACCAATCATTTTTATACATCACATCAACTTAATTCACTATTCATCAACTTACATAATTTTAACTCACCATCACTCTCAATCATTTTTCTTATAGTTTACATCAAATCAACTTTTATTCATTAACAACTAATCAAACTACATTTTTTTCAAAATTAACTATAACTAGTTAAATCCTAGACAATCATCCCTAATCAATTCCTTTTTTGGAAGTCAACATTGGAACAACGTCCACCATTCATTAAAAATATAATAAAGTCCGCCAAATTGCAAGAACAAGAAGAAAATTCCAACCATGGCACCAAATCCACAATTCTTNAACACCTCATTTCTAGTCTTTACACGCGTAATCTAACATTTCGACGGTCTAGATCAACACTAAAAAAAGGGAGAAAAAAAGAAAGGCTTAAAGAAAACTACATGTGACCTCAATTTTGTTTTTGTAGTTTTTTTAATATTGGGAAAGAGGATGCAAAATTCGCACGCCAGCGTTGACTACAGTGGCGATTGGACTTTCTTGCCATTACTCGTCTCTCTCTTAATACAATATTTAAATCAAGATGATTCAAGGACTAGTGCAGGTGATTCTGTACGGGAGAGTGCATGATTGTGTTCTCCTTCATAAGTTACGATTAGCATAGTCGGGTCGTCCAAAGCCCGTTCAACATGCTTTCGGGCTGGGCACCCTCTCACGCTACTGCATTTGTAGTAACCCCTGTACGGAAAAAAGGATAATTTTACAATTTTTTACATTTAACAGATGTAAAATTTGCTTTTCACTAGGATTTAAATTACAACCTAATTCACAATAATGATATTTTTATTTAAGTAATTAATTGCTTTATGCGGTTATGCCTCAAGAAGTGATTGTTACAAGTTTGCGCTTCAAATAAGTTTTGTAAGTTTTTGCTATACAAAATTTGGTTAGATGTGAAAAGAGGGAGAAAAGTTGCTATATATAATATATGGTGACTTGTGCCTAAACGCTTAAATTTTAATGGAGTTGGTAAAGAAAAGATTTCACCTAATACAATAAAAAAATATAATCTATCATTATATAAAAAGAATAACCTTTTTACAAATTTAGAAACTTTTTCCCGCCAAAATCATTAAATATATCCTAATATAGTAATTGTTGGACAAATCTGAATAGGCAAAAAAATCGGCTCATTTTTTTTAGTTTATCAAAACCGTTGTTTGACAATAAATATTTGTTTTTCTTTTTCCTATTTTTAGTATAAATCTACACGCTTATCTCTTTTGTTACAAAATTCCATTGCATACGATCTCACGTGTTTAAAAAATCTCATCCCTTATTTATACAAATTTAAAAAAATAAAATAAAATAGAAACCAATTCATAATTACTACTAGAAATCCAT